ACTAGTGGAACCCACTTATATATATCTATATTTAATGAGTAGTATATTTAAAAAATTTAATTGACTGCAAGACTACAAAGTTTTATAAACAATTAAAAATATTAATGAAGAAGGTAGATTAAAAATGATTATTTTAGATTTATGACTATGTGATTAGGGTTATCAAAAAGACTTTCGTGAGCTCGTGTTCAGCTCGCTAAGCAAACGAGCCGAACATAAGCACATTGTTTGAGCTCCAAATGTAAATGAATCGAACACGAGCGAACATGAGCTAAGCGTGGACTCGCTCGTATTCGACTCGTTTACACCCGCAATTTTCCTCACACACAAGCGCCACCTACTACAGCCAGCTCAACACATTCTATAATTTTTTTATAGCTCGCATTGATTGAATGATGCTATTTATAAACATCCTTTATTTAGCTGCCTGTCTCCATTCTCCTTTATATTGCTTTCTCTACGCCATTTTCCGTCGATCGTTCACTTACTCTCCTCTGTAACTCGCTCTTTTCATACATTTCAATCTCTGCTTATTTGCTCCAATCTCCGGCGATCGCCGATATGTCGACTCTTTCGATCCCTGAATACGTTCCTTCCGCCGCCGAGGACGCTGAGCAACTGCGCAAAGCCTTTGCAGGTAAGTTCGTTCTCCTTGGATCGTTTTTTATTTATTTTTTTTGTTCTTTGCGTTTGGCTGGATTTGAGTTAAATCCATGGCTAAATCCTGTTAAAACTGCGCTACCAATTTGGTAGAAGCAACCGATCTCTTCTGAAATTCCCTAACGCGCCCCTGATCGGTGATCGGATGCAGGATGGGGCACGAACGAAAAGCTGATCATCTCCATCCTTGCTCACCGCTCTGCTGCGCAGCGTAGCCAGATTCGGCAAGCCTACGCCGATATCTTCGGTGAGGATCTTCTCAAATCCCTCAACAAGGAGCTCACACACGATTTCGAGGTGTGATGACCTCGATTTCCCTATGTTCTCTTCCGAAAAATATCTGCTGCGTTTGGTTTTCGATTTGTTTGGTTATGGGTGTTCATGGTCTATGAATCGGGATCTAATTGTTGCAGAAAGTGGTGCTTCTTTGGGTACTTGAACCCGCAGAGAGGGATGCTGTACTAGTCTATGATTCAGCAAGGAAATGGGGGCCAGAAGATCGTGCCTTGATCGAGATCGCTACTGCGAGGAGTTCAGATGAGCTCTTTGCAGTGAGGAGGGCTTATCATGCTCGCTATAAGAGATCAGTTGAGGAGGATGTCGCTGCGCATACAAAGGGAGATCTTAGGAAGGTATCTGCTGATTGCAGTATGTTTTCTTTTCTTCTAATGAAGCACGACTTGATAAATTCCAAGTTAATCCGTGAATCTTTTTCTTTGGTTTTCCATATGTGTAATTGCTAGAGGTTGTTTGGCTGCCAGGTACATGATTTGAAGATTAGATGATATTATTGGGGTTTGAATTTTATAGATTAACTGGTTTTTTAGATTTTATATGTAAAATAATTAATGAAAGGATTTAATTGAGCTTAATTAATTAGTTTTTGTATGATTAGAGTGATTATTATAATTAGTACTTAATTGCAATAATAAGGATAATTTGCATTTGATTGGATTGATTAGCAAGTAATTAAACTTCAACTAGGAATTAACAAAGTATTTGAGTTTATAGGCAATAATAGGATTAGTGCCAATTATTGATTAGCTGGTTAAGTTAATCAGTGTTTTTTGTTACACCCTTCTCTTTTACATTCACTCTTTTGCAAAGTTCTCACAATGGTTAATGGATTGTAGGATTAAGATAATTAAGCTATAGATTATGACTATATCTTATTTAAATGGTCACATTTTCTAATTATTTATAGTAGGAATTAGCATTATTTAGTATTGTTATAATTTATATTATTGAATATATTTCTCTTTATTATACTATTAATTGTATGGTGTGTTCTGAGAAATTCTGTCCTGTCCAGCTCTTGGTGCCGCTTGTGAGCGCTTACCGATATGAGGGTCCTGAAGTGAACCAGACACTCGCAAAGTCTGAAGCAAAGCTGCTGCATGAAAAAATTGGAGATAAGTCTTATGCAGATGAAGAGATTATCAGAATTCTTTCTACCAGGAGCAAAGCACAACTGGCTGCAACTTTCAACGCTTACCACAATGAGTATGGCAATCCAATTAACAAGGTATAATTCTCTTAGTCAAATCCTCTTGCTCCTTGAGCTGACTTGCTTAATATAATTTGAATCTCCACTTTACAGTAGAGCCTCCATTATTGCATTTAACTCTCGTCTAGTAACACGGTCATTTCACCTTGAAAGTAGGTTTCCGCATCCATTGCCCAACTGGATCCCTCTTCGGAGTCCGATGGCGGGTGTCATGCGTCAAATGGGCCTCACCGCAATACACTAGTGGAACCCACTTGACATATGACGCCCTATCATTATTCAAAGTCCTGATGTAATGTTTTCTCTTGTGCATATTTTCTCTTCCTGTCCTAACAATAGTAAACTCATGATGTTTATTAATATATATATATATATATATTTAAAAAAACAAA